CGGCATGTGGGATCTTCCCGGACCAGGGCTCGAACCCGTGTCCCCTGCACTGGGAGGCAGATTCTCAACCACTGCGCCACTAGGGAAGTCCCGTCAGTCTTATTTTAACACTTGATTTTTGAAAACTTTTATCAAAATAATACATGCTTATTCTAATAACTTAAATGAAACAGATATATGTAAATAAAAAAAGCATAGTTCCCTTTTCTCCCTACTTACTCCCCAATGGGTTAGAGTCGATCCTTTCATTCCTTTTGTTCTGTTAGATGTCTTTGTATCTTTTGCCTCGTTTATGGAATACTTTGTAACACAATTTAAAAATTTTCATATAGTCAAATCTTTCTTTTTTTCTCTTTTGGCACCTGGGTTTCTTATCTTGCTTTCCATTCTTCTTACAACTGTTTTGATAGATGCTTATTTTCTTTTCCTTATATGGAAAAAATATGAAAGTCATAAAATGAAAAATAGGCTTAGAAGCTTGAAACATTTGGTCCTATTTTATACTCTGCTTATAATCTGCATCTGCAAAATATTGTATTTATTAAGACTGAAGACTTTTGTGTGTGTTTTATATCTCCTTAACATGGTGACACATCAAGAATTAGTAAGCTGTGTGGGCTGGAATACTGCTGAAGAACTGTATTCATGTAGTGATGATCACCAGATAGTGAAGTGGAACTTGTTAACTAGTGAAACAAGTCAAATAGTAAAGCTGCCTGATGATATTTACCCAATAGATCTTCACTGGTTTCCGAAAAGTTTAGGCATAAAGAAACAAACTCAAGCAGAAAGCTTTGTTCTCACAAGTTCTGATGGTAAGTTTTAAATAAATGTTATATGCTAATCTTTATACTTAAAAGACATAACATTTTAGTATGACATGTTTTGAGTTGTTTATCCATTTCCTATGTAGTCAGTTCGTCTGTGTATAGGCTATAAAACTATTGTCATAGAAGAAGGTGAATTAAACTGGCATATACTGGGATTGAATCTGAACCTCTGGCTTTACTTTTTCTGTGCTCGCAGGTATTGTTAGGCTTTTTTCAGTTTTGGTTTCTAATTTTGTCAAATTTAACTGTATAACATAACCACACTAAAAATAGATGGTACAACACACACTCATTTAGTAAGCTATCAAATATAGTCTTTATTTTCTAGTACATGTTAATTCCTACTTACAGAGCTGGAGATTAATTTGACCATAGTTTTATTATTGGTGAGTAAAAAGCATGATTATTCTATTTTTTAAGGAAATGTTTTAATTTTCCTAGAAATAACTTGAACTGTTTTTCATCTGTATTACACTTTACCTACTATATCAGTTAAGAGTACATTCATCAAAAGTAACAGAAACTTACTCGGCTAACTTACTCACAGATGGAGTTTTCTGGTTTACCTAGCTCCAGAGGTAGATCTTTAAGCACAACTGCATGAGACCCCTATTCTTTTTTTTTTTAAATAACACATACACAACCCCTTGAGATTTTACTTATTTATTTATTTATTATTTATTTTGCTGCGTTAGGTCTTAGTTGTGGCATGTGGGATCATTGTTGCGGCACGCGGGATCTTGCGGCATGCGGGATCTTTCATTGCGGTGTGTGGGCTTCTCTCTAGTTGTGGTGTGCAGGCTCTTTAGTGGTGGCGCGCAGGCTCCAGAGCGCGCAGGCTCAGTAGTTGCAGCACGTGGGCTCTCTAGTTGTGGTGCACAGGCTCTACAGCGCGCGGGCTTAGTTGCCCCACAGCATGTGGGAACTTTGTTCCCTGACCAGGGATCAAACCCGCATCCCCTGCATTGGAAGGTGGATTCTTAACCACTGGACAACCAGGGAAGTCCCCAGGCCCCTATTCTTGCCATCTCTTGGATAGACTCGCCCCAAAAGGTGAGCATGATGGCAGCCAGCAGCCCAAGGCTTACCCTGCAGGAAAAGAAAAGTCAGCAGAGAGAGTGCTTCTTCCTCAATATCACTTGCAGTCAACATGCAGAGAAGTCCTGGACAAGCTTGGGTCACATGCCCATCACTGAGTGAATCATTTTAGTCAAGGGACTGGGACACTGATTGACAGAGCATGGCAGGCCTTAGGCCACCGTGGAAAGGGAAAGAGAAGAGGGCTTTTGTAGCCAGAATAGGAAAGGGATGTTATGGCAAACAATCACATCAGATTCTAATTCTTTTACATGTAATTTTTAAACTTAGTTTTCTGAATATTGATTAAATGAGATATTGTGTGAAAGTATTTGGTACAGTGCCTAGCGCTTACAAGATTGACTCTGAGCACAGCTAGAATTTAGTTTACCTCTTATGATAAAATGAAGAGTTGACTTTAAAAAAAGCTTTTAATTTTGTTATAATTTCACATTTATAGAAAGGTTGCAAGAATTGTACAAATAACTGCTGCATATCCTTTATCCAAATTCACTAGTTGTTAACATTTTGTCCCATATATTTTATCATTGCTGGTCTTTTCTCTCTCTTTCTCTCTTTCTCTCTCTCTCCCCCCTGCCTCCCCCCAACCCACATATACTTTTTTCTGAAACATTTGAGAGTAATTTATAGATATGCCACTTTAACCATAAATACTTCAATGCATTTCCTAAGAATAAGGATTTTCTGTTACTTAACCACAATACATTGATAAAAATCAGGAAATTTAACATTGATGTAATACTGTTATCTAATCTACAGTTTATATTCAAATTTTAACAATTGTCCTAATGCTATCTTTTATAGAAATTTGTTTTTTTCTGGTACAGAATAACACATTGTTTTGTCATATCTCTCGAGCCTCCTTTAATCTGGAGCAACCCCTCAGTTTTTCTTTTATGATCTCCACTGTTTTGAAGAATACAGGCCTGTTATTTTTACAGAATGTCCTTCAATTCATGTTTGTCTGATGTTTCTTCATGATTAAATCCAGTTATACATTTTAGCAGCAGTACTCAGGGCATCATATTGGAAGATTCATGATGCTGATTTGACCCATTATTGGTGACTTTAACTTTGATTATTTTGAAAGGTTGTGTTCACTAAATTAATCTAGTGTAAAGTTAATGTTTTTCCCTTTTAATAAATAATTTCTGAAAGGATACTTTCAGACTATATAAAAATATTCTCTTCCTCCTCAGATTTCCTCCCACTGTCTTGGCATCTATTGATGTCTCTTGGCTGAATCATTTATTACTAAGATTGTTGCCAAATGGTGATTTTTTTTAACTCCATAATTTCTTTTATATTGATTTGTTGGTATTTTACTGCAAGGAAGAGCCTTCTGTCTCCTGCCCATTTATTTATTTGTTTACTTAGATTAGACTCATAGATTCTTATTTTATTTCTTGAGCATCCTATTACTACCATTTAAAATTTTTGATGTTACAATTGTCCCAGGTTTGGCCAGTGGGAGCTCCGTGAAGCCAGCTCAAATGAATTTTCTTTTTACCCTGGGGGGTATGTTTCCCCATCATCTTTTGAGCACTTCTTTGCTGGCACAAGATGTTCCAGGTTCATTTTGTGCTTTCCCAGTCCCAGCTTCCAAATAAGCTGTTTCTCCAAGGAGACTTGTTCTTTTCTGGGTGCTTAATGGTATTTAAAAGCCAAGATGAGTGTGCCAGGTATGCTCATTTCAATGGGATGTGTTTACTTCAAGGTCCTTTCACAGGACAGAGCTAAGAAATACGAATAGAAATGTGTATTAAAATATACAAATCTACAGCAATTTCTTCCTCCCTCCCTCCCTCTCTTCCTTTGCTTCCTTCCCCTTTCTCCCTTCCTTCCTTTCCATGATAAAAATCATGAGTTCATTCTGATACCGCCAATTCTAATTCAGCACCACAGGGTTAATTCTAGTCTTTTTTCCCCATACTTGGAAACAGTGAGGAAGCTTGGCTCCCATTACTCTCAATATATTTACTTACTTGTTTAATTCTACAATACACAGCAGGTTGTTTCAGAATTGCTAATCCATACTATTGCAAAAAAAAAATAGAGTTTAATATTTTACTGTTGTTTTTATCTTTACACTGAGGATATAGAGTCAAGGATATAGAGTCAAAGTCTTGTGTTCAAAGTTACTTGGCATTTCCCCCCTACTAGTGTTGTTGCTATTCATTTAAAATATAGTTAAGTGTATTTATTTCTGTTTGTTTTCCATTTAAGGTCTCATCTCCCCATCCTTGTTGATTTGATTATTTTTTAAATATGTAAAATATTACATGGATGGTTCCACAAAGTCAAAACTATATAAAAAAATATACTCAGCAATGTCACTACTCCTACCCACCCAATCCCATACACCCTATTTTTATTTATTCCCCGTATGTAACCAATCCCTTTGGTTCTGGTTTATCCTTTCTTATTTCTTTTAGCAAAAAGAAACAAAAACATGTATATTTTCTCATTTCACCTTTTTTTTATTACATAGAAGGTGGCATACCACATATTTTCTTTTTTTTTTAACTTTTTATTTATTTTTGGCTCCGTTGGGTCTTTGTTGCTGCACGCGGGCTTTCTCTAGTTGCAGCGAGCGGGGACTATTCTTCATTGTGGTCCACGGGCTTCTCATGGTGGCTTCTCTTGTTGCAGAGCACGGGCTCTAGGCCCGCAGGCTTCAGTAGTTGCAGCATGTGGGCTCAGCAGTTGTGGCACGCAGGCCCTAGAGGACGTGGGCTTCAGTAGTTGCAGGGCATGGACTCAGTAGTTGTGGCGCTTGGTCTCTACGGCACGCAGGCTTCAGTAGCTGTGGCGCTCAGTAGTTGTGGTGCACGGGCTTAGTTGCTCTCTGGCATGTGGAATCTTCCCGGACCAGGGATTGAACCCGTGTCCCCTGCACTGGCAGGTGGATTCTTAACCACTGAGCCACTAGGGAAGTCTACCATATATTTTCTTTTCATTTTCCTTTTTAAAGTCAATAGTGTATGAAGATTGACCTGTATCTGATGAATATGGACAGTAAATATAGTTAGTCTTGATAATTTCTGTTATCTGAGTGTTTCCCTGATTTATTAAGACTACTTAGGTACACTTAACTAAAGAATAGCTGTTTGGGTCTCTATTTCACATTGGCTTTAGGTAAAATACTTTCTGATAGGGAAAAAAGTCTAAAGTAAGACAAATATCATTTAAAGATAAATTTGCAGGATTAAAAGTGGAAAAATATATTATGACTCTTGAGAAACTATAGTGTTTACTTTTTTTAGGTTTACTACAAAAACAAACAAACTACCAAACAAACAAATAAGGTAACATAACATGCTACAACTAGATGTAGGAAGAAGAGAGAACCAAAGCAGGGTAGCTGAGTATTTTCTCTTAGGCTGGGATGAGGAATATCTGGGATCTTGTGAAAGTGAAGGCAAAGGATGATAGTTCAAAGAAAAGAAGTAGAAGAGTAAGACAAGAAACAGAATCCAGAAATGTTCAAAAAAACAGAAAAAGAGGGCTTCCCTGTTGGCGCAGTGGTTGAGAGTCCGCCTGCCGATGCAGGGGACGCGGGTTCGTGCCCCGGTCTGGGAAGATCCCACATGCAGCGGAGCGGCTGGGCCCGTGAGCCATGGCCACTGAGCCTGCACGTCTGGAGCCTGTGCTCCGCAACAGGAGAGGCCACGGCAGTGAGAGGCCCGCGTACAGGAAAAACAAACAAACAAACAAACAGAAAAAGAAATGTTCAAAGAAAAAAGAAAGTGGATGCTATTGAAAGGTGGTCGGTCAAGGTGTTTCTTGCCAGATAAACATCTGAGATCATTTTATGTATCAATGCTGTATTCTCTGTTAATCAAATACTATAAAAAAGTATTATTCTGGTTTAAAAAATATATAATATGAGATCCACCCTCTTAATAAACTTTTAAGTGTACCGTGCAATATTTAACAATATAATTTTTGTGTAAGCACAATATTGTATAGCAGATCACTAGGACTTTTTCATTTTGTATGATGTTAACCCAGTACTTAAAAAATTCTTTTTCAAAATTTAGTTCTTTGTCTACGAGGTTCCCTCTTCTAGTTGGCACCAACTCTCTTCTCTTGATTTTTCTCCCCCAAGGCTGGCAAAAATGGTTACGGCTTTTGAGTTTGTTCATCACTCCTCCAGTGTTCCCTTTGTCATACCCACTCCATCTTCTGTGTTAGTGGTAACATTCAAAAAAGATCCATGGGATTTGGGCACAGGTCCTGAAATACATAAAGCAGACTTTTGCCAAGTATTTTGTCTCACCAATAATTCTCTCTTCAACATTATTACTTCTTTTTGAATATTTCATGCAGCTGTATCCTACTTTTTAGAGGAGATATTTCTTTCTTTGACAATGTATTGCAAGATTTACATTTAAAAAAGAATGATTTAAAATGCATTAGGGGAGCTGCTATGTAAAGGAATTCTGGTATAAAATCTTTTGTAAAGCCAGTAAATACTCCTTAAGTTATATTTAGTGAAAGTTGAATATTTTTATATATTGTATTAGGTATCTTAAAGTAATCCTCATATTCTCTTATTAGTTAATATGTACACTTAAAAATCCCACTTTAAAAAGCATTTATGTGTTCATTTCTTTCTGTCAGAAGTTAGTGGTTACTGATCTCTGGCTTTTTGCAACCATCTGCCAAAACTTTTCTGCTATTAAGCAGTCTGCAAAAGTGCTCGTGTGACCTTTTTCCTAGCACCCTATTTCAAGCCTTCTCATGTTTCCATAGACATTTCTTAAGGCATTTCTAACTTTAAGAAATGTGTTTCGTGTAATTTTAATCTACTTACTCTGTTCTTTTTCCCTTTTATAACTTTGCGGTACGCGGGCCTCTCACTGTTGGGGCCTCTCCCGTTGCGGAGCACAGGCTCCGGACGCGCAGGCTCAGCGGCCATGGCTCACGGGCCCAGCCGCTCCGCGGCATGTGGGATCTTCCCGGACCAGGGCACGAACCTGCGTCTCCTGCATCGGCAGGTGGACTCTCAACCACTGCACCACCAGGGAAGCCCTGGTCTAGCATTTTTAAAAGGTTATGGAAAAGCTGGAGAGAAGAACCAAAATAGTTAAAAGGATAACTGTGTTTTTTAAAATTTTTGATATATTTAGTTTTATATTTATGCTTTACTCTGGGGGTGCTAGTCAAGCAATTTGTAACAACCAAACTACAAAGACCAAAGATTTATTGAGTGTCAAATCTATGCAAAGAGTTGGCCTTAGTTGTTCCAGTATGTGTCTTCTGTGAGGTCATGGGAAGCAAGAATAATTTCAGCACTTGTCAGAAATTCAGTATTCGATGTTTTAGGATAAGAAATATCGGTGATCAAAAATACATAAAATTTCTAAAATACAAAGAAAAGAAAAATTTTCGGACCCTTCATTTCAGGTTCAGGAGCTATTTGGTTAATCTCTTTGGTGATAGATTCATTCGTTACATGCAACAATTTAGTATGTGGATATTTTGTGCTGGGCGATATGCTAACATTTAGTGAAACAGATTTGGATAAAGTAAATAATGGCCACTCACTATATGTCATCTTTATAGTTTCCTCTTGAGACTTTTTTCCCCTTGTATTTTCTTTCTAAAGCAATGCATTAAAAAAAGTATATCCAAATTAATTTTAAGTTAGTATCATAAAGAGTGTAATAGCCCAGTTGAATTCAAAGTAATCTTGTTAGGGCTTCCCTGGTGGTGCAGTGGTTGAGAGTCCGCCTGCCGATGCAGGGGACACGGGTTCGTGCCCCGGTCTGGGAAGATCCCACATGCCGCGGAGCGGCTGGGCCCATGAGCCATGGCCGCTGGACCTGCGCGTCCGGAGGCTGTGCTCCGCAACGGGAGAGGCCACAACAGTGAGAGGCCCGCGTACCGCAAAAAAAAAAAAAAAAAAAAGTAATCTTGTTACATTGAAAAATAACCCAGAGGTAAATATAAAATTAAAAGGAAGATATGAGGAAAAGTAGATGGCGCTAGTGGGTGGTTAGATGAAGGAAAGGGGTAGTTTATTCATGAGGGCCTAGAAAATGAATGATGGGAAAAGACAGCTCTCAGATTGAATGAGAAAGAAAAGAATGTCAAAGTAGTCCTTTTTTTTTTTAAGTTGCTAAGTATGGTTACTGAGTTGGTAAATTTAACAAATGCTGCTTACGTAAAGCACTATTGCAAATAAAAATATGACTAAGACATGGCCTTCTGAAAAGAATCACAGTCCAATAAAAAAATGCTGCAACAGAGCTACAAATATTGTGCAATGTGTGTAAAAAGGGAGAATGACTTTATTGATGGGAATAGGTTGGTGGTCAGTGAAATAACCACAGGGTGCTAAGTGTAAAATATTTTAAAGCCATCTGTATTAGAGCTCTCCAGAGAAATGTTTTAAAGCCATCTAAAGCACCTGACTTATTAAATATGTATTTTTAATGGATTGTTAATATTCGTCCAGAATCTTGAAAAGCCTTAAGTTAAAAATGAATTCAAACAAAATAAATCCTCTGAGGCAAAATTTGATTAAGCAAGCCACATTATTCTTTTGCTACAAAAAATATATACCTTTTTTTTGATTTGGGGAAAAGTTTCTAATTTTACTGTACAGTTGTCCCTCTGTATCCAAGGGGGTTTGGTTCCAGGACCCCTGTAGATACTAAAATCCACAGATGCTCAAGTCCTTTATATAAAATGGCATAGTATTTGCACATAACCTACACACATCCTCCCACATATTTTAAATCATCTCTAGACTACTTATAATACCTAATACAGTATAAATGTTGTGTAAATAGTTGTAAATACAATGTAAATGCTATGTAAATAGTTGCTGGTACAGGGTAAATTCAAGTTCTGCTTTTGGAGCTTTCTGGGTTTTTGTTTTTATTTATTTATGTATTTTTTAAATCAATTAGTTGAGTCCAAGAATACAGAACCCTTGGAGGTGGAGGACCAACTGTACTTAATTATTTTATTACAAACTATATATTATTAGACTTCATGATCATTCAAAACCACACTGATTATTTTTTTGGCTTCCTGTAGCACTTATTCTTTGTACAGTTGATTTGTTCCCTTGACATCTCTTATATAGTTTGCTTAGGTCCTTTGAAGTTGTAAGCCTTTTGCTGTTTGCCTATATATGTGTGAACTTTTTGAGAACAGCATCTAAGTAACTTGCTTCTTTTTGTCTACCTGGTGCCTGGTACAGTGTAAAATCAAATAAGGCAAGAATTTGAAAATTTGGGATTATCAGTTATTCAATTAGTTAAACAAGGAGGCCTTTAGACTTGAGGTGACTCTAATGCTGTATACCTCTGCAAACCAAAATCTAAGCCTGTAAATGAATGCTTCAAGATTATGAAATTGAAACCTAAGGACAACCAATCACAAACAGCCAACCAGGCTTTAAGTTGTAGTCAATCAATAGTATCCTTACTTTACTTCTGCCTTTTCTCTATAGAAGTTTCTCCCTGAGCTCCTGTCAGTGGAACGTTCCTAACCACTTAAAGTTTGGCACTGCTGGATTGGAATTGATTTCTGCACAAAGTCCAGTTTTTGTTTTTGTTTTGTTTTTTTGCCAGCGTGGCTTTTGGGATCTTAGTTCCCCTACCAGGGATCGAACCTGGGCCCCCTGCAGTGGAAGAGAGGAGCCCTAACCAGTGGACCACCAGGGAATTCCTCAAAACTCAATATTTTTTAATATGCCTCAGTTTATCTTTTAACACCATTTAACTATCTTGGTTCCTCTCCTCTACACCTTTCCTAACTTTTCTATAGCCTATTTTTAAGAAAAAAAAAGCAAGACTGCAAAGTTCTGCTTAAATAGAAGGCTTTCTTGACATTCCTCTTGGCCCTCTTTGACCATATCCCAGCAGAATTTTATTGTCCCTCTGAACTATCATAGTATCATGTATATATTTCTGTCACACCACTTGTTTCAAGGTTGTATAATTTTGTTTTTGTGCCTGTTTCCCAATGGATTTGAGTGTCCCTTGAGAGTAAGAATAATTATATTATTTGCCCTGGTATCTCCCATGCCTAGCACTATGCTAACTAGTCTACTAGTAGATACTCAACAGATGTTTGTTGATTGGATAAATTAATTTAATAAAATAGATTTCTCAAGTTTAATTTCTTTTAGGCAAATTTCATCTGATTTCTAAGTTAGGAAGAGTGGAAAAAAGTGTGGAAGCTCACTGTGGAGCAGTACTTGCTGGACGATGGAATTATGAAGGAACAGCATTAGTTACAGGTAGGTTATCTGCAAAAATAACATTTAAAATGAAATTTTTAAAGAAAAATTTCCAAAGGAACAGAATATTTTCATTTAGCAATAGTGTCTTTCATTGTCTAATAGCAAATAATTGGCACAGTATTGATCTAGACTGCTATATAATGTTATCATTCACAGTGTCATATTAGTTTTCCTATATGGCTTATGAAGAATGTTCTGTCAAGAAGGTTTTGGAATGGTCAAGTGTGGGGTAAATAAAACTTTTAATTCTTTAAAATTCTAAAATTCAAAATATTCTCATTTAACTTTACCCCCCTTCCATCTCTTTTCCATCTCCTGCCCTACTGCAGGGATTCTCATCTTCACCTATCATATTAGTTATCTATTATTGCATAACAAGTTATCCCAAAAGTTAGTGACTTAAAATAGTAAACATGTATTATCTCACAGTTTCTGTGAGACAGGGAACAGTTTAGTTGGGTGGTTCTGTCTCAGAATCAAGAAGTTGGATGGGGCTGCAGTTATATGAAGCCCCATTGGGGCTGGAGGACCTGCTTCCAAGATGGCTCACTCACATGGCTGTTGGCAAGAGGTCTTACTTCCTCTATGACTGTTGCAGGAAGCCTTACTCAGCTCCTTACAACATGGGCCTCTCCATAGGGCTGCTTGAGTGTTCTAACAACATGACAGCTGGAGCTTCTCCCTGAGTGAGTGATCCAAGAGAGAGCAAGATGGAAGACACAATATATTATATGACCCACCATTGGAAGTCATACTCCATCATTTCCACCATATTCTGTTAGAAGCAAGTCACTAAGTATAGACCAAACTGAAGGAGAAAGGAGAGAGAAGTTAAGCTTCACTTCTTAAAAGAAGGAATAACAAAGAATTTGTGGATATATTTTAAAACCACCACACCTATCCCCTGGGCCTTCTGTAGGACTTTTATCAGTGAGTTTCTCTTCTCTTGCCTGTTTTTTCGACTTCTCCTTTTCCAGTGTTTTTTTTCTTTTCCTTTTTTTTTTTTCAGCATATAAATGTGTTCAGATGTCATTCATCTTGAAAATTGAGAAAAAAGAAATAAAAATCCCTCCTTTAACAAATAACTCTAGCTACAACTTCCTCTTTCTTTCTTTCCCATCAGGCAAACTGTCCAAAAGAGTAGTTTATTACTTCACTCCATTCAGTCCCCAACTCACTGGAATTTGGCTGTAACTCTTCTAATTACACTGAAAACACTTTTCTTAGAATTCTAGGATGGAGACGTCAGTGAAAATGAAAGCATTATTTGAATAATATACTCATAAGTCTTCTAAGATTAAAGGAAAAAAATAATTTTGTCATTGAAGTCAGGCTACTTTGATAAAATTGTTTCAGAGTAATTTCAGTTAAATTTTATATTTAGGAAGCAGTGATATCTAAGTAGAGTAACTCGTGTCTGAATTTTAAATGTGCATTAGTGTAGATACTGCTGATTTTTATATGTAAATTTAATGTTTACATTTATTTCCTATAGATAAAAAATCAATTCTTTTCTCTTTATAGTTGGAGAAGATGGACAAATAAAAATCTGGTCAAAGACTGGAATGCTAAGATCAACTTTAGCTCAGCAAGGTATGTATTATAATCAATTAAATGTCTTTGCATTTTCCTGTAAAAATAGTCTAATATAGTTAGTCTAATATAGTTCCTCAGGCTGATTTTGGTCAGGTTCAAAACCTGAAATCTCTTATTTCTATTTACACTTTTTCCTCTTACTTTCATGTTGCCTGATGGGCCATGGTAACTGTATTGTTTGAGCCAAGAAATATAAGACCCACTCAAACGCTTTTTCTTTGTTAGTGAATCTATATAAATGGAGTTATAGGCTAATGATTCTTTTTAAAATAATTCTGAAGCATCATGAGCATATCCTATCTAGAACAGGATTGGGTGTCTAGTTAAGTAAATAATAATAATAGAAAACACTGAGTATCTCCTTACTTAAAAAGTTCTAATTATATCATAATAATAGCACCCTTTCTAAATTATGTTGTACATCTATACTAATGGAGGGGAACAGATACTCTTATGATTCAAAACTTGGTAAACTACAACTACTTAGAGCAGCAGCTTGGTTTTCCATGTTCATTGGGAAGAAGTGCCCATAAAGTCAATCCAGTGGTCATACCTGTTGGGATTTAGATTACATATGATTTTTTTCCATGTAGCAGATTTATTTTCCAAATTAGGTTTACTTAGGAACAATAAAGCAGTTTTAATGTTGTCCTGAGCCCATATCAGCTGATCTTCAGAGACAGGCTGCCAAAAAGTTTGCAGATTATTCTTCAGAAGTATATGATAAAGTCATTTTGTGAAGCATCTCTAACAACTGACTTCCAAAAATTTCCAGATTTCATTTTTTAACTCATGTTTACTCTTAGGATATGTTAAAATAGTTACATTTCTTTAGCTACACATCAACCAAATGTTAGCAAAGGTAACCATAAGTAATAGGTAGTGGTTATCTCCTGAGGTTAAATCTTTGGTACAGATGGTCTCCAAATAGAATATTTATCCGTGAGTGGAAAATTTAGAGTTCATAGAAACATTCATCAGTAAATTTGTTAGGGAAAGGTGTCAATTTATTGTTGCTTTAGTAATAAAGTATACCTTTAGAAAATAAATTTTATTTTAATCTTCTAGTAGGCATGGACATTTACTTTTGGCTTTATAATTTTTGTTAGAGCTAATTATTTGGCATTCTTACCTTATGATGTCTGACTTATGAGCAGCTACACAATTCGTTGAGAGATCATCACCACCCCCTTGGAGATGGGGCTGCAGTTCTTTTCAGCTGTTGCTGCTACTGAGACATATCCTTTTTTCCTTTCTTTTCTCTTTTGCTAAATATGTTGTCTATAGAAGACACAGATCTTCAGAGAAATTTTGAAAGCTTATCTCATTACCCATTATAATAATCTGAATTCTTGCCTAAGATCCTTCACCACTGTCCCCGTACAGCTCCTTCTCTTTCTTTAAATTCTTCCCAATCATCTCCTTCCCTTTTATTACCCCTTGGATCTACCATTTTGGACTTTACAAAGTCTAAAGTTGAAACTTAGAATAAGTTGTTTAACATAAACATTGTTAATCATAGAGGGTAGATGACATAGTGCTGTTGGTTCAGTACTATAGTTTACCTGTATAATAGGTCTGGAAACCAGATTGCTACTTATTTTACTCTTATAGAGAAAATGCATTTAGAATTCCCAAACGTGCAGAGGCAGTTTGGAAGCCCAATATATTCATAAATTAAGGACTTTTTATACATCAGAAATCACCAGATGGCCCGTGGGCTGAATCTGCCCCACTAGCATGGTGCAGGCCCAACATTAAAAATTAGGATATTTTACATACATATTTGGATTTCTGGTGTCTTGAAAAATTGGAAGAACTGGCAACATTAAGTCTGCTTTCCAGAACAAATACAGTCAGCTGGAGTTCAATAGTGGCTGCTCCATTTTTAGTTGGATTTTAAGCTTCTCTTATTTTTCTTGCACTCTACATACTTCACTCATTTATATTACATGGTAGAACACAACATAAATCTCTGAAGGGATTTGAGTTTGCAACTCATATTTTCAATAATAGTGATCATAAAATTTTGATTGTTAGTATGTGCCTTGCAGGGAGCACTTACATCTTTTTAAGTATTAATTTTTAATAGATACTACATTCACATGGTTCAGAATTTAAAGCATAAAGAAGGGTATAAAGTTATCTATTAAATACTATGCATGTCTCTCGTATTACCCGTCTTCCAGCCACCCAGCAAACATTCCCAGAGGCAACTGCTGTTACCATTTTCTTGTGTAGGAAATTTGGTTTTATATGTTCTTTTTTTTCCCTTTTATAAACAAGTGGTTGCATACTGTATCTAGTATAATATGCTCCTTGCTTTTTTTCACTTGAATTGTGAACTGTCTTGGAGGTGGTTTCATATCAGTGAATTAAAATCTTCTTCAAGTTGTTTTCCAAAGTGAATATACCATTTTACATTCCCAGTAGAAATATATGAAGGTTCCAATTTCTTCAAATCTTCAACACTTGTTACTGTCTTTTTTATTACAATCATCCTAGTGACTGTAAAGTGGTATCTCACTGTAGTTTTGATTTGCATTTCCCTGATTACTAATAATATTGAGCCTCTTTTCATGTGCTTTTTGACCATTTGTAGGTCTTCTTTGGAGAAATACCTGTTAAAATCCTTTGCATATTTTTTAATTGGGTTGTCTTTTTATTGTTGAGTTGTAAGAGCTCTTTATATATATTCTGGTCAATAGACTCTTATTGGATATATGATTTGCAACTTGGATATGCAACTTCCCAATTCTGTGGGTTTCCTTTTCATTTTCTTGATGATAGCTTTTGAAGCACAAAAGTTTTGATGAAATTCAGTTTATCTATTTTTTTCTTTGATTGTTTCTACTTTTGGTGTTATATCTAAGAAACTATTGCCTAATCCAAAGTCATGGAGACTTACATCTATATTTTCTTCTAAGAGTTTTATAGTTTTAGTGCTTATGCTAAATGTATGATCTTTTTTTGGTCTATGATCGATTTTGAGTTAGTTTTTGTTTATAGTATTTATTTTGGAGAGGGATGGGTGGTGCTCTTTTTAATTTTTTCTTCCTCTCAAATAGATGGATAAATAGGATTTTCTTAAAAGCTAAAGTACATATTATGTCTTATAAGATAGGTAATTTTATTATGTATTCATTGGATCATGTAATGGTATTTTACATCAACATTCCAAATAGCTGTAATTTCCTTGACATCAAATGGCTGTGAAACTGCTGATCATTTTTATCCTATTTGAATCTTATTCTTCTCACTCAAGGTTTATGTTAATTATGAGATTAATGAACAAAACTAAATTAGGTAGATTTTATTTTAGTTAACTTACTGGTATTTCAACTGAATAATCTGATATCTTTTTCTAGATTAAGAATTATAAATTCACTATAGAACTATGCTTTTAATTTTTGAATTTTTTAAAATTAATTAATTTTTGGTTGTGTTGGGTCTTTGTTGCTACACACGGGCTTTCTCTAGTTGCAGGGTGTGGAGGCTACTCTTTGTTGTGGTGTGCAGGCTTCTCATTGTGGTGGCTTCTCTTGTTGTGGATCACGGGCTCTAGGCGCGCGGGCATCAATAGTTGTGGCACATGGACCCAGTAGTTGTGGCCCGCGGGCTCTAGAGCGCAGGCTCAATAGTTGTGGTGCATGACCTTTGTTGCTCCACAGCATGTGGGATCTTCCTGGACCAGGGCTCGAACCCGTGTCCCCGGCATTGGCAGGCGGATTCTTAACCACTGTGCCACTAGCGAAGTCCCTAATTTTTGAATTTTTGATCATTGCTGCCACCCACACTTTCCTAATAAGGCATAGATAGACTTCGCCTGTTTTATCTCTGGGAAAAATCATTAGAGAAGTTAAGTTATAATCACATTAACCCTGAAGGAAAAATCCCTAGTTATTTATAAGGTTTGATATATTATAGGCTACAAGTTTCAAGGGTGATTATAAATCTGACCTACTGAGAGCTAAATGCTAAAGGTTCAAGTAAAAAGACCAAGGGAGGTAGAGGTCGGGGACTCCTGGCTTCTTTGAGGAGAAAAACTGTAAATTTTGGCACAAAAATGAAATAACGTAAGCCTGAATTACTGTAAGACTCAGAATTATGTAAACAATGTTGAAAGCGTCCTGTGATTTTTACTACATGTTTATGTTAATTGTACTTTTTCCTTGATGAGTAGAAAAATTCCCAAATTCATTTCTTGATGATTGGAGGCAGATATAAAGATAGAAAAGTCATGGTCATCACCTTCTCTTCCAATACAGAAAAAGCATTAATCTTGCTTTTTTTGGGGGGTGGGGGTGGGGCAGGGGGTGGAATTTGACTTTGTTTAAAAACTATTCTTACTGGTGCCTATCAGGAATTATTTTTCCTTATTAGAGAAAAATAATGTGTAAGCCGAGGATAATTATAATGAAGCCCTATCTTGTGTTACATTGTATATTTTAATTATAGGTTAAAATTGAAGAGAGTAATACTGCAAACCTTTAAGGACATTTCCCTTATACTATATTCAAATAGAAGAAGGAGATGACAAAACATGGAACCTGTTTATAATGAATTTGGTAAAGGAAATATAAATAACTGTAACACAAGGCAGAATGTACTCGTTTCTTTAAGGCATTGTGGGAGGACAGGAAAGCAGAAATGAATGCTTTGTGGGGAGAGAAAGTATCAGAAAGGCTTCCTGGCAAATACTGCAGCATCTTTTAATTAGGCTTCGAAGGATAAAGAAATTAGGTAGGATAAATAAATGAGCTTGTTGGCAATGAAGTGGAGCTATGGAAGAAATTAGATGATCAGAGGCACAGAGGCAGAATGGCGTGAGGCGTGGAAGTCAGGTGAGAAACCCCCTTGGGCCAGGGGTAGGCTCTGGCCTACCAGAGTGTAGGCTCTGTGAGGGATGGTACTGCCAGAGGGACCAAGACACTGATATTCGCAGATGCTAAATGAAGGGGGTTGGAGTTTATTCTATAAGCATATAAAATCTTTTAAAAAAATGAGCAGGAGAGAAGAGATAAAGTCTGCCTTTTTAGGAAGATTACCTTAGCAGTAATATGTAGGATAAATTAGAAGAGATAGAGGTTAAATTGGGGTCGCTGGTATGGAGGTTACTGAAATGTTTTATGCTATTGTGCAGTAAGGCTTGAACAGAGTCAGTGATGAGGGTAGTTGAAAAAAGTGAATAGTTCTCAGTGGCCAAGAGGAATGGATAATCCTGTAAGAGGTGAAGAATTCAGAGGAAGAAGTGAGGGGATATGTGTGGAGGGATGATATATGAATATGTAGAGTTTGAAGTTCTGGCATGTCTTTGGGGCAAGTGGAAATGTGTTAGAGCTCAGAGGTAAAGGCTGAAATATTATTGTGTGTCAGTTACAGAAAGGTGAAAGGTGAAGCTATGGAGGAAGTTGAGATCCCCAAGGGAGAGGTGACTGAGGCTAGAAACTAAAGAAACAAATGCCTTCATTTCAGCTTTTTTCTCTGTATTGACCCAGTGACATACACAACCAAAAAGTTGTTTTTTTGAGGAATAAATCCCACTCGATATTACTTATTTGTTAATACATGTCCCTACAAATAGAATGAAAGGGAAATAATTCTTTGTTTTGGAATTCTTAATGATTTGACAACCAAAATACTTGAGTGTTTACTCCCATGCACAACACAATAACAAATGGTTGCTTATTGCATTACAAAGTAGTAGTGGTAGTAGCTAACAGGTCGTGCTTATAGAGTGCCAAACTCTGCTCTAAGTTCTTTACTTATACTCACAAGATGTAGACCTATACTGCACTCAAGGCAAAGGTAGCTAATGCTTCATTGTAATAGTGAGAGTTTGTTTCAAAATCATTCTTAAAAGCATGCAAAAACAACATTTTTTAGGGGATACCTTTTAGTATGAATGTGAAAAACATGGTATATTTGACCATGTACTTCCTTAAAACAATTGAAATACATTTTTGTCTCCTTTTCTGTGGTTTAAAATGCCTTCAACAAGTTGAAAGAATTTAGATAATTTGTTTTACAGAGAGATAAGGGTCTGACATTTAACACAACCCCAGGTGCATGTGGTTTCTTAAAAAATGTCAAAAAGGTCACATGATCTTAGTGTACAAAGTCAGAAAAACAAGGTCTTTTTGAGTGTCTTAAATGGAGCATAAATAAAAATTCCCAATATAAAAAACAAATTAATTATTATAAAACTACTTTTGTTTTTTGTCCATTTTTGTTAATAAAGAAATTAATAACATCTTATCATATAATTTGCTAAAGTTTTTGTTGTAAAGGCTATATTATTATTTCCATACTGACTTTGCAAAGTGAAGTGTAGCATTGGGAGTAATTCAGTGCTTTAATAAATACGTTTTTTAAAAACATTTTAAATATTAAAGATTTGTTTCAAATGCTAGTGAGATGGATTTTTTATAATAGAAATCATTTTCTCTGTGAAGCTAATTCATCCACTTTCAATATGGCCTTCTCCAGAATCACCCAAATCAGAAGTTGTATAGCGATAAAAACATATATACAGGAGTTTCACACTTAACATTTTATTATAAATATAAAGAATGAATATAAGGAAGAGTTTTCTTAGTTCTTGATGTTATATTCATTTATTCATTCATTCATTCATTTATTGATTGATTGATTATTTTTGGCCGCATTGGGTCTTCATTGCTGCTCAGGCTTTCTCTAGTTGTGGTGAGTGGGGGCTATTCTTCGTTGTGGTGCATGGGCTTCTCATTGCGGTGGCTTCTCTTGTTGTGGAGCATGGGCTCTAGGTGTGCGGGCCTCAGTAGTTGTGGCGTGCGGGCTCAGTAGTTATGACTCACGGGCTCTAGAGCACAGGCTCAGTAGTTGTGACGTATGGGCTTATTTGCTCCGCGGCATGTGGGATCTTCCCGGACCGGGGTTCGAACCTGTGTCCCCTGCACTGGCAGGCGGATTCTTAACCACTGCGCCACCAGGGAAGTCCGTTATATTCATTTTGAATATTGGTGGTTAGGAAGCTGGAACTTCTTTAGCTATTGATCTTATTTAGGATTGCTTATTTATCATAAGTAACTCTATATTTGTTTTTTGATTGAAGGAATGTGGTTAAAAACCACATGCTGTAACAAAAGAATTACTTAAATTTTCCTCTATAAGCCTATTTCGTTTTATTCTATAAATTACTATACCTGTTTCTTTAACAGCATTATTATTTAAAAAATTGTTTTATAAGCAGGAAATGAATAATCTCCATGTCCTAACAGGAGAGATAAGTATTCTGAAGATTTATAAGGTTTATAAACAAGGAAATGGTGACACAGTTGACTTAATGGGGCCACAAATTCAATGTGAAAGAGGACATAAGAGTCCCTAACTCCTCATCCTATACCCCAAACCATGCCTTTTACCACAACTAAAAGACTAGAGTCACATCCTGTATAACTCAATGGGAGCTGTGTTTACTGAATTATTTCCTTGGGGGTAGATGTTTGTCATAGTTTTGTATACACTCAGGAAAGTGTTATTTTACTGAGTGTATTCATGAAGATGTGATAGTCTATAATTAAAATACATAAATTTACGTTTTTTGCACAATACTTACAACTATAATAATGGAAATAAAGAAGGCACCTATAATTCTACCACTGTATCAAATAAGCTTTCCTCTATTATTCCCTTACTGTCCTCACCAAGAATCATGTTTGGAATATCTGAAATTTTGATTTACATTTTCTGGGGAGTTTATTAGACTTGAACTCTGTTCATTTGGAGATTTACTTTGAAGCCCAGGTCAGCTCCTGGCTACTCCCAGAGAATGTTTCAAGAGAATATACTTACTAAGTTTAGAAGAAGTACCCTCTGAGGTCAGCCATCTCATTGCTCATCTGTAGGTTCCTTTGATACAGGACAATCCTAGATGTCACTGACTGAACAGGATGTTTAGACCCAATATAATATCTAACCTACACCATGAAAGGAATGCTTCAGGAGTTTTTTGGACTAGGTCTAAATCAGACTTTCTAAGTCCTGTAAACCATTAAGACTTGCTCACAGTTGAATTACATTCTGGTTGGGAAAAAAATGGCACTAAAGGAGTAGGGTGCCACTTAAACACAGCATTTATCTTTCTGAAATTTACTCCCTGTTGATTACTGATTACTCCCTGTTGATTAGCATCAGTTGGGTTTTCCATTTAAATAAACATCTTACTGATTGCTTGTAAATCCTCAGATTCAGATTTCATTTTACTGAGAATGTAAATTACTGAAAGATTTATTCAATCATTCACATAAAGTCAACTGCTACAATAGTCTGACTTAGGAATCCTAGACAATTTTTAAAAGCTTTGTTTTATAAATATAAATAGGTTAATATTTCATAGATTAATTATATAAACTTGATTCACTTCCCTAATGAACAGGTTCTAATGAATAGGTAACTGGACCAGACAGTGGAGCACAGATAATTTAATGCTCTCAATTGATATGATATTCATTATTTATTTAAAAAATAATTTGTTTTTAATTTTCCCCATTTTTATTGAAGTATAATTCATGTACAGTGAAATGACAGCTCTTTTTTTAAAAATAAATTTACTTATTTTATTTTTGGCTGCATTGGATCTTAGTTGCAGCATGCAGGATCTTTTTTTATTTGCGGCATGCAGACTTCTTAGTTGCGGCATGAATGCGGGATCTAGTTACCCAACCAGGGATCAAACTCGGGCCCCTTGCATTGGGAGCACGGAGTCTTACCCACTGGACCACCAGGGAAGTCCCCAGAATAATGTCTCTTAAGAAGCCAACAAAGAAATATTCTCCAAACCAATGATAATAAAGAAGTCCAAATTTAGTTGAGGTGTACCTTTTTACCAGTTGGTTCTCAGGAGAGTTGGCTTAGTCAACCACAAGCTGAAGGCACAAAAGCAAAAGTCGAATGTTGCCGCTGGAGCACACTGCTAGGGAACGAAGACTCAAGTGTTGACCGGGTGAATGATCTTGGTGGGGCCGCTGCAGTGTTTTCACCATTGCTGTCACCGTAGTTGCTTATTCATTTGTTCTTATTGATCAGCCGCCAGTGGTGCCCCTCAGCAGCTGAGCTACAGGGTGCTTCATCAGCAGCCTCAGATGTCCATGATGATCTCCTGACACAACACCTTCACTCTTATAGCAAAACAGCTTTCCTTATAAAAACAACTTCATTCTTAGATCAAAACAACTTCATTTTTTCGTGAACGAGTGGATTTGAAATCATATCAAACCACTACACAAGAGTTGATGATGGGAAATGATAAATCATGACTTTTCTGATACCTTTTTGTATCTTAACATAATGAAGTATATTTATTTTACGTTTTTCCATAGCACACTCTCAAAGTCCTAAAAGCTCCGTATTTTCTCAGCAAGGTCAAAATTAGTAAAAAATATAGTTTATCAGTTGCTCACAGTAGATTTTCAACAGTCAATCTTAACCTGGTCTATGTTTCAGTATCAGGCTTATACTGCAGTTTGGATGGGCCATTGAATGAGGAAATGAAATGACACCCCAAATTGCTTTTTTGATTTTCCTAACAATCTCCCTTTTATAAAGCATAATAATTTAAGTTTATCAGGTTTTTTTTCTTTTCCTTTTTACAGGAACACCAGTGTATTCAGTAGCATGGGGCCCTGATTCGGAAAAGGTTCTTTACACAGCAGGCAAACAGCTGATCATTAAACCTCTTCAACCAAATGCTAAAGTTTTACAGGTACTTCTCAGGCATTTGTAAATTGTTATTGGGGTCTGCCAGACTGCTAAGTGAGAGGTCACTTTCTTAGGAGTCCCTTTTTTCTGGGTGGTCTTGTTATAGTTGAAGCTCTTAAGTGTGTGGTTTTATCGGCCTTTGTTACAGAAAAGGGGATATCTGGTTATGTTTCCAACGAGGTTCACTTCCCCCTTTTTCCAACTCACATTATACCAGTAAGTCATAAATGTGTTCTGAGTTACTAAATTATCACATGATTTGGCATAATAGCCATCTTTAAATTTAACAGAGTCAACCTAACATGTATAGATTTGAGACAAAACAGGACTAAATCATAAAACTTTAAGAGGTTGTTTAGACTGTATTTTTTATCATCACCTCTAGCGTCTTCCTCCTCATTGTTTGTTCAGTACCCTTGAGCTTTCTCTAAGACCCTAGAATTCTTTTAGTATTTTTAGAGTGGAGGGGGCGTCAATGTAATGTTTAGAACAATTGGGTATATATAATTTTACCAATTATAGGGAAGCAAAACAATAGTGGCAGTTAAGACAGGTCAGGGGAGGACAAATAAATGAAAAACCTTTAAGCCTATATCCAGGATTTTGATGTTTGATTTCAGTGCAAAGAGGCAGAATCATTTTCTTCATATTTTGATAATGACACAGTGTAGTGTGGGTAATAAGATTACAGGCTTTGGAGTTAGTCACCTGGGTTCAAATGTTCACTTACTTATATGTGACTTTAGGCAAGTTATAAAATGTCTTAGCGCCTCAGCGTTCTCATCTCTTAGATGTGATGCTAATACCTACTTGATAGGAATGTTGTGAGGATTAAATGAGTTAAATTGCAAAGTGCATGGGACAGTGCATATAATCAAAATATTGAGTGTACACAATGAAGAGTAGTTGTTGTTGATATTGCGGCGGTGTTCTATCATCTCTACCTTTTAGTCAGCCCTTAATAAATTAGAGCCATGGAGGCCAGTTAAAAGGTATAGAATGACCACGTCCTGGGTAAGGGATTTGGTGCTGGGGATTGACTGGCTACAGCAGGTATAAAAAGTGTTTTAAGAAGAAACATTAGGTTTAACAGTGAGTAGATGTAGAATTTGGAGAGTAAGGATATAGAAATGGCTTTGAGATTCCATATTAATCACTTCTATGTAGAGTATGCTATACATATTCCACACAGTCATCATGCATTTACATTTTTCTACATGCAGAACACTCTGCTAAGAACTGTGGAACAACAGAAAGAGAAGAATTTGGGGAAAAGGAATAAGCTAGGAAAGAGGACTGGCTCTGACTGCCTTTAGTCAAAGTCCTTCTAATACCGCTTATATTCTGAAAATGTGCTTTGAAATCATACAGCAAAAGCAGGCCAGATGAATCTTTTAGTTTATAGTTATGTGATTTGTTAAGATACCTGTAATTAGGCATATGTAAGTGAAACTCAGGAAGATGCTTAAATCACCATTGATAAATTATCGTTTTGTGGCTCGGTAAAACCTTTGGCCCAGGAGGTGGTGAAGGGAAAGAAAAGTATCCATTGCCAAAATTCAGCTAGAGTGGAGAGGGGTTAAAGTATAATTAGTAACTTCGTGCAAATCTTCTATTCCTTTTGGAAAACTAAAGCTGCAGCAATTCTCCTCGGGCATAAACACATACTCACATTTGGATTATTCACAAAAAAGAATGCTTATTTAATTCTTGCTTGTAGAATACAGTTCAAAAGTATATATTTCATTTCCCTTAAGAGCTTTAGGGACTCTTCTAGAGACCCAGAACTTGGTTTCAGAGTGAGGAGACTTCTGTTTATTTAGTCATTCAGTGGGAATGTAGTGCATACTTACTATATCCTAGGCGCTATGCTGGGGTGTAAGGTATTAAAAGTGAAACAGAACATAGTTCCTGCCTTCTGTGAGGAGCTCACGATTCAAAGGAATTTTACAAAATGCCTAATACATTAAGAAATAATTGAAAAATGTCTATGCATTATATGTAATATGTGAATATATGTAATATATAATTGATATTCTAAATTATAGTATAAGGAAAATTTAAACCATATTTTGTTCCTAACTTTTGAATATGGAAAATTTTATTTTTGTAGTTTTAAAATGAAACTCTTGAGAATCTCTGCACGTGTATATCTCTATATATCTATATTTTGTTATTTTTGTCTTTGCAGTTTATTTTAGGACATTGGATTAATTTAGCAGTAAATTGTGAAAATTATTGCTTTATCAAAACATTTGTTTTTTTGTTTGTTTGGTTTTTTTTTTTGCGGTACATGGGCCTCTCACTGTTGTGGCCTCTCCCGTTGCGGAGCACAGGCTCCGGATGCGCAGGCTTAGTGGCCATGGCTCACGGGCCCAGCTGCTCTGCGGCATGTGGGATCTTTCCGGACCGGGGCACGAACCCGTGTCCCCTGCATCGGCAGGTGGACTCTCAACCACTGCGCCACCAGGGAAGTCCAAAACATTTGTTTTTGACAGAGTGTATTTTTATGTATCTTGAATAAAACAAGCTATGAATTATTGCTTATTCTTAGGGCTTATTTGACCCTAATTTGATGTTTTTTTCTGTATACATTAAGAATAATAGATTTTCCCGGGAAGGCTCTGTAGAGGGAAAACCCTTAAAATCAGTCACTCTTTGAAACAAAGTTAGTTGGTTCAGACATTAAAATGTACCTTATAGTCTTCAAGAAAAATTAATTCTTTTTCAGTTATATTATTCTGCTTAAACCTAGTGAAAGATTAATGGCTTTTAATTATGTGCGTGGTTAATAGCTAAATGAGCACATAAATTATATTTAAGATCAAGAAGACATCCACGCTTAATTTCTAGATCGCCAATTTTTGGGTGACTTAGATATATACACAAATATGTATGCATTCTATATATGTGTAGAGTATATATCTGTGGGAAACCTTTTGTTATATGGTAAATGCAGCAGAATTTTCTCAGAGTAGTTAGTGACTACTCCAGGGACATGAAGGTAAAGAGAATGAAGCTTAGGGGAATGTACAGAAGAGAATGAAGAGAGTACTAAAGAGGATGTGCATGTAGTAGAAGTTTTTTTAAAAAATAAAAGAATTAGTAAACAAGAATGAAGGCAGTATCAGTAATGGGATCAACTGTGCAAAGGGAGCAAAATTTGGATTCAAGTAAGTTTTGGAGTACATAACATATTCATTCCATTATTATCACACAGATGTCAAGCTTGGAATAGTTCAACAGCAAGTGATTTTCCATCTGGAGTCCAGGCAATTGAGGAAATTAATAAGGATGTGAGTTATATAGTGGATGTCATAGTGCAAGGTGCTTTTCATTAGTTTAAATTGGAAATGAAACCAGCATAATGGTTATGAAAGGAAGATAGAAGTCTTCTCCAAGAAGAGGACAAAAGAATCATTAGAAAGAGGCAAAATGCCTTTTCTTATTTAAAAAACTTTTCAATGTTCTTGAAGTTATAATAAATATCTTATTTTTTTCTCATAGTGGAAAGCTCATGATGGCATTATTTTAAAAGTAGACTGGAACTCAGTCAATGATTTAATTTTATCTGCTGGCGAAGACTGTAAATATAAGGTATGTAATGTTTGAATAATGTTTGAATTTATCACCTGGTTGAAAGAATCAAATTTCGGTGAAAAGTATTTAGCATATAAGAGTATTCTTTTAGTCCTTCTCTTTAGCCATATCTTTTAACTCTAATAATTTAGCAAATTGTTATTTTATAATTTTCAGTGGCATTTTGAAGTGTTGCCTTTCTAATTTGGCCTATTTCATTGACCTATAGAATTTTTTTTTAATTTACCATTTTAACCATTAAAAAAAATATATTTATTTGGTCACGCGGGGTCTTAGTTGTGGCAGGCAGGCTCCTTAGTTGCAGCACGCATGTGGGATCTAGTTCCCTGACCAGGGATCAAACCCGGGCCCCCTGCATTGAGTACGTGCAGTCTTATCCACTGCACCACTAGGGAAGTCCCTGACCTATAGAATTTGATTTAATGAGTAGCAACATGAAAACAACTCCTAGTTTTAGTGACTCTTTAAATCAATTTAAGTTTTTTTTTTTTTTTGCGGTACGCGGGCCTCTCACTGTTGTGGCCTCTCCTGTTGCGGAGCACAGGCTCCGGACCCGGAGGCTCAGCGGCAATGGCTCACAGGCCCAGCTGCTCCGCAGCATGTGGGATCCTCCCGGACCGGGGCACGAACCCGTGTCCCCTGCATCGGCAGGCAGACTCTCAACCACTGCGCCACCAGGGAAGCCCTAAAATGGGTAGTTTTTATGATTAATTAAAGAGTTAGTAAAATCTGAAATTATCATGATGATACCATAACATTTTTGGGGGAGATATTTAGGTTTCCAGGAATACAGCTTCCCTACCCCCACCTTGCCTTGTTGGATAGTAAAGACATGTAATTGCTAATATTATAAAGTGATGACTTCTAAATCTTTACCTGATACTTTACTAGAAGCTACAAACTTGTTTGTAATAACGTGGTGACTTATAAAAGAATTTTTAAAATTTGCTTTTTGTAGGTATGGGATAGCTACGGCCGCCCTCTGTACAGTTCACAACCTCATGAGCATCCTATTACCTCAGTTGCCTGGGCTCCAGATGGAGAATTATTTGCTGTTGGATCATTTCATACTTTACGCTTGTGTGATAAAACTGGGGTAAGTTATAGTGGTAAGCAATCACAGATGTGCTGTCATAATGCACAACACACCTGGTTCTCAATCTTTAAAAAACATTTTCAGTGATGCATTTGACTGCATCTTTCTGGTTTGTCTTCTTAATATACTGGTTCAATCAATTCCAGATTTATGGGACCATACAAGCTCTTTAAGTTCAATCTGAAGATTGGGTATGTTCTCTACTATCTTTCTGGAAATACTTATTTTAAGCATGGTTGTGAAAGATGGTAAAGTGTTAAAATTTATGCCCAATCAATATAGAGAGTTCAGTTTTGAACCTTTTTTTTTTTTTTTTTGTGGTAGGCGGGCCTCTCACCATTGTGGCCTCTCCCGCTGCAGAGCAGAGGTTCCTGACGCTCAGGCTCAGCAGCCATGGCTCACGGGCCCAGCCGCTCCGCGGCATGTGGGATCTTCCTGGACCAGGGCACGAACCCGTGTCCCCTGCATCGGCAGGCCGATTCTCAACCACTGCACCACCAGGGAAGCCCCCCCCCCCCTTTTTTTTTTAAACTGTCAATATGTTTCATACAAAAGTTTTGGTTGCATATTTTTGGTAAGGAATTGATACTAAATTTTTTAAATGGTCATTTTAAAACCAAAGAATTCATATTTGAATGTGTGTGAGATTTTTCTCTCACAAGAGAATATGCCCTCTATACAAATTCTGTTTAGAACTTAGGCAAACAGCCAAGCTCAGCAGTATTTACCCACTGTACTTGAAGAATGAATTGTTTCATCAAAGTGCTCCAGAGGTGGCAGCATTATATGAGTGGGGCTATTCCATACTGTTCCTAACTATGAGGAAATCACATAAGTTTTCTGTGGCTTATTTTCCTTAAATGCAAAACAGGACAGTTAATTTAGAATTCTTAGAGCTTTTTAAATGACCTATTAAGTTTTCTGGTTGCTTGTTTTTTATCATATGAAATATAAAGTCCTCTGCCTGACTTTGAAGCTGTCTGAAACCTGGTGCCATAAAACCTCTTGTCTTTTCCCCCCATTACTCTCTAATTTGTATGTGTTCAAATCAGACTCATGAATCTTCTCTGCCCCTCACTAACGTCCTCATCTTCTCTTTTCATGGAATGCTCTCATCTCTTACACTTAATGAGTTCTTCCTATTTTTTAAGGCTCACTTCATATTTGACTTCTTTTCATGATACCTTCCATAGATAAAGTTTATTTATCTATTTTTCTAACTTCCTCTCACCTAGATCTCTTTTCTTAGTTTTAACATAAGGATGTTAAGTTAGACCATCTCATTTTCATCTGATTTTCTATCAATGATTCTCAGCCTATAGAATATATATTCTCATTTTCACAGTGTATTATATACTCTTACATCATCCATTTTAGTTTTATGTATATTGTTTTTGACTCCGTAGATAGTTTATAAGGTCCTATAGCTTAATGATTCTCTATTATCTGTACAATGCAGTAGATACTCAGTAATTCACTAATAAGTCCATTTAAGCATAATAATTTAAGTTTGCCATTTTGATGAAAATATTTAAAGATTTAAAAATCTTGGGGCATTGAATTGATCGAATAACTGAATTAAAGATTTACTTAATTAAACACCAAACCTATTTTTAGAATGTTAACTATTCAGGAAAAGTAAATTTTCTAAAAGAATTTTGTTCCTACCTTGTTCAACTGAATAGACTGAATATATTGTAATAATTTTTTAGGACTTGTGATTGACATTTTAAATATATTTTCTTTTATTCAATAGATATCATATATATACTAGTCATCAGAGAGTATTTTGGAAACTGGGGATGGGAAGATGTAAAGATTTTCACTCAAGTTGTTGACAGTCTAGTGGAGAATCAGACTATAAGACTGTGTAAATGCTATACATGAGGTTGCTGTGTGCAAGCACAATAGAGGAGTGGCAGAGCCTAACTCTGCCTGTGGGACACTGACTGAGAGCTGAGGCTTGAAGAATTAGTAGTTCTTCAAGGAGACATGGTGGGAGAAGAAAGTTGTAGGCAGAAGGAACCTCTTGTGCATCAAAGTATGGTGCTTTTTGTGCAATGTCAATAAGATTTTGCATGGGATGGTACCAGGAGATAATACAGAAAAGGTTCTCAGACCAGATCTGTGTTTGCCATCTAAAAGAGTCTAGATTTTACTATTTTAAAATGTAGTTATTTTATGTGGAGCCCCCTTAGGGGTTACTGTGGGGTAGAAAAGAGGTGAGGAGGTTGAGCCCCTGGTACTCCTCCACCCAGAAAAGCTCTACATGAATCAGCTTTGAGATATATATATATATATATTTTTTTTTTTTTTGCGGTACGTGGGCCTCTCACTGTTATGGCCTCTCCCGTTGCGGAGCACAGGCTCCAGACGCGCAGGCTCAGCGGCCATGGCTCACAGGCCCAGCCGCTCCGTGGCATGTGGGATCTTCCCGGACCGGGGCACGAACCCGTGCCCCCCTTCATCGGCAGGCGGACTCTCAACCACTGCGCCACCAGGGAAGCCCTGTTATATAGTTATTAAAAGTGATAATCTGCTTTCATAATGCCATGAAAAGATTTTTAAGATATACTGTCAGAAAAAAGTTACAAATTTTATCTATAGGATGGTCCTATTTGTGTAAAGATATGTGTCTATATATGAATAGAAAAACAGTCTGACAATATAACACATTTTAACAATGGTTATCCCTGGAGTTTGAAGTGATAGGTGATTTTTTTCCATAACTGCAATTTCTAAAGTTTTCAAATAAAAAATATGCTTTGTATAATTTTTGAAGAGGGAAAAAACTAGATTTATCCTTTAATTTTATTTTGCTTGCAAAATTCATTGGATTCTCTAATCATGTAATTCAGTTTTCTTTCCTTTTTAAACAAATGTTGAGTTTTGAAGCTATTTAATTTATATGTATATATAATTAAAACATGGAAAATTGTTTTTAAGGTGATATAGAATATATACATCTTTATTGGGAAGTAATTCTGTTCACTAAGATATAAATGCTATAAGCATTTTGAGTCAAAACCAAATTACCTACTGCATAATTACTTCCTGCACATCTTTTTAAAAAATGCCAAGCAGACATTCCCCTTGTGGAGTTTACTTTCTTGTTGCTAAGACAGGTATTAAATAATTAATTACCCACTCAGTTATTTAATTACAGTTGTAATAAATTTTACAAGGAGGTACAGGCTGTTCCTCGTAATGAGAACTAATCTATTTGGAGGGTCAAGGCAAGTTCGTATGGTGAAAGGTAAGAAGGGCAATGCTTATTGAGATTCTTCACCTTTTCTACTTACTGAGTAAGTGGTGTCAAGTTAGAGCCAAAAATTTAAGTCAGCTGGTGCTGCATACTTTTCTAACACAGTTGTTTATCTGTTGAAAAAAACTTATTAAGGCTTCTTTTAAGAAGTAAGTACGTGTTTTCTTCAACCTAGAAATGTCACACTTAAATGTAGCTCCTTGCTTCTTTTTTTTTCCTCAAAATCTGCAACTTAAAGTTGTATAATTAATAGTAGTAATCATTTATCCAGGGCCAGATTCTGTGGAATAATTTCAATATTAGATATTATAAAAATCTGGTCCTGAGGAAGGATTTGCTACAAATTTATCAGATTTCTATCTTGAGAGCTCTGTTTTGAGAGCTCTTCACAGATTTTTAGTTAAGTGCAGTGTTCTTAATCAACATTTTAAAAATTCTTATCTAGGCTTCCTTGACAGAAATTGGACAGTAATTTTTTAATATAAGGCTTAAAGAATGATGTTGGTGTAAACTTTCAGGTTATCTGTGAAATAATAAGCCTAAAAAAATGTGGTTTTTGTAAATATTTTCTTTTAATGTTTTTCAAGAAATATTTCTAGTGGGAGAAAAAACCTCAAATGCTTGGAGGCTGTAACTAAGAGGTTTTGGTTTGAATATATTCCTTACTATGCATGTATGTAAATGGACTGATGAGAAGAATATTTGAAAAAGCAGAAATTTTTATATTTTTGTATAGGTACATTACTCCAACTCAGTTGTTATATAGTAAATCTAATATTCCCATTAACTTTCATCATAAAATTGGAATTTTCTAAAAAGACCCTCACTAGGCTGATACAAAACTCCTGTTCCCATTTACATCTTCTATTTAAGTAGGCAAGTTACCTGTATTGGTTCAGAACTCACATCCTGGCTCACTTTTGTGGATTGTTGTTCAAATATCAATTTCATTTTCAAAGCCATTTTAGGTGGTATTCCATAGTCCAGTTAGTTGTCATGGTTTTACTGTGTTGATTCAAGTCAGCTGCATGAATAGGCTGCTTGATGGTGTTCCAAGGGCTTTATACATAGACTTAAAGAATACCGTTCTCCAGTTCCCTCCTCTCCATAATCCTACCCCAACTCTTGTAGCAAGGGGGTTGGGTGCTGCCTCTTTGCTGTCATTAGTGCAAATCAGGCATGGTAGATGGGGGTCCCACTGGGCAGCCTTCACAGTGCTCACTGGAGAGGGCCACTGCTTTGGCATTGCAGGGCTGGAATGGCCTGAGGGGCTCTGTCTCTACAGCACCACGTGGGGAGGCGGAAAGGTGCTACCTCTGCTCACTTGAGTGCAGAGCGGGAATGTTCCCCAGGGCTCCATCCCACTGTTTCCACAGGACACAGTGCCTGGTGGGGAGAGTGCCATGGTTTCTTTCATGGTGTGTGTTTGGAGAAGGGTAGTTATGTCCAAAGGGTTCCGTCCTGCATTGCAACCCCTCTACCTGGCTCCTTGACCAGAGAATGAGCATTACTTGGTGCTTGTTTTGTCTCACATACTACTTAGAGTTAATATAATACCATTTCATGTAAAATATACGAACCTTGCATCCATGGTATTCCATTTACCCACCTTTCCTTTATGCTATAATTATATTACATCTATCACAATATGATACAGTTTTTGCTGTTAAAAGTCATATTCACTTTAAAGAAATTAAGAAAGAAAGAAATGTTTAGCATTTCTAATGCTCTCATT